ATATTTAAAGCAACTGTCACATCATTTACATCCAAAATCTATGCATCCAAAAGTCTACAGTTAAAGACAAGAAGATACTTGCAAAGCACCCCGTAGACCTTTTCTAAATAAAGCTATTTGATGACTAAAATAACCCTAACAAAATCTTTTAAAATATATAAAAGAATATTTTAAAGACAATAACAATTAAACAAAAAGGGAAAGAACACACTGTGAGAGTTTTGTGAGAGTTTTAGAAGGTGGTTGATATCTAGTTTTAACCAAGTTAACGCAATTTTTCTTTCCAGGTCTTGACACCGCTCGTGAACCAAAGATGACATGAAAAATCTGCAGCCGAAGTGTTGCAGAATACCAAGGAAATTGTTGATGTGTTTTTATTCATCGTGCGGTAGTACCTAATTTAATCATTGGTTTAGACAACTATCTTCAATGTTATGTCTCCCTGGTGATGCCTGGTTGTGGTAAGTTTGCATATGATTTAGGACATATTTTTCTATCTGATGGAGCACAAAGAGGACATGAGCTCTTCAGAGATCTTACATATTATCTTATGTTAATGCTCAGACTCTTTGACTACGTACAAGCCCACAATGCCTGCGCTAACCCGATATACAACGAGATTAGTATTCCAACGTGTTCTGAAGAAGAAAGAAAAGTTAGCTACATCTCAGAGAAGAAACTCTCAGGTTTCAATTGTGAATGGAGATAATTTTTCTGAAGTAACACAGCTATGTGTCAGAATAAACAACTTGTACAAAATTTGCAACGAGCTTGATGTTGTGGAAGAAAAAGTCCTCACAGATTTGAGGAACAATGAGTCAACTTACCATGACGACTTAACTAGCAACTTAGTAAAAAAGTTTGAGCTCAAACGAATGGCTTGTATTGAAGGCTTTCAGCAGATTTCAGAGCTTTTGGCACACAAAGTCGTCTTCCATGATCTAAGCCATGGAATGTGAATTTATGGATGGTCATGATAAATTGTTCATGGTTTTAACCGTGATAACTTGTCCATAATCATCGATTTGAAAGAAAATAAATGTCAAAAAAGAAAGAGAGAGAAGATAGAAGAAATCATAAAAGAGAAAATAGAAAGCGATAAAAAAGGAAGAAAGAGAAGAAAACAAATAAAAAAGTGTAATAAGATCATAAATTCAGATTTTATTGGGAAAGTATCTCAATAGTGAAAAATGCATGTCT